AAGGTCACGTTAAGTTAGTTCTTAAATAAATAAAAAAATATCCAGAGAAAACTAGTTACTTGTTTCTTTTTTAGGCAAAAAAATTTAATTGATATCATTTGTATGCAATAGATTTCAATTTTAATCAATCATTAGTTAACTTTACCAAGGACTTAAAATAACTTATCATGATAATAATTATAAGCTTTATAACCATATGGTTATCATCTGGTGATTTATCATCTATAATCTATCAAATATGTTATGATACTGATGATATTGTATTATGATAGTTGATGATTATGTTATTGATATCTCACTCGATTATCCTAACCAACTTGCATATACTTTTTATCATGTTATATATATTTTTTAAATTAATTTATAATAAGTAATAAAAATAATTATAAAATATTACTATATAATTCCTATCATTATATTTCGTTTTCAAATCTATTATAGACACACACACACACACACACACACAAATATATATACATATATATATATATATATATATATATATATATATATATATATATATATATATATATATATATATATATATATATATATATATATATATATATATGTATATATATATATATATATATATATATATATATATATATATATATATATATATATTTATATATATATATATATATATATAAACAAACACTATTATTACTATTGTATATTATTATATAAATATACATATAGAGGGAGGGGGTTAACAACAATCTTTTAAAAAGTCCCCCCTACCTATCTTTATTCTCCGGAGAAAGTTAAATCTAGGTACCTGTGCTGCAACAAATAATAAGGTGTCTGCTAGAAATTTTTTTTAATGAAATTTGACATGCACTTAGAAAATATATTTTTTACTGGGCCCAACAGATTTGAAAAAGTTATCAACATTTCTTTAATATTAATTATACATCTGATCAAAAATGATGTTTTTAAGAACCATAAATTCAACGATAGAGGTGGTAATTACAAAAAAAAAAAACACTAAAATAATTTTTAACTATTCTACTTTTTAAAAAATTTGTATATGAAGTTCTAAAGAAAAACACAAGAAAATACATTCTTACAACAAATACGCCTTGCACGATTCACTAAAATGGTCGAAGTTTTTCATCACAAGATCGGTGCAGTAAATCGAAGGATACGCGCATTGCTAAACGAGTTAGATTGAAGTTTCTATTTATTTTCAATTATATAAGTGTATAATTATATATGATATACTATATCATATATAATTATGCACTTATATAATTAAAAATACAACAGCGATTATGAAAGCAACGTGAACTTTTTTTTTAATTTTGAGCAGTTATCTTATTTCTATATCATATACTATATGATATATGAAAAAGAAAACTGCTCAAAAATAAAAAAATAAAAACACGTTGCTTTTAGAATCGCTGTTGATTTTAACAACGGTAACAAAAACAACTCAAACGTTTAAGGCACAAATTAAATACTGTCATGATAATCATTTGTCATTTTTATACCATTCTTTATAAATTCATACTAGTCTAACTATTCAACGGCCGATTTGAAAAATAAAATGGCGTTTACAAAAGAGTTAAAGAACCCTAAACTAAGTTTCTTTGAAGTTTTCCGTAAAACGATTTGAAGAACCTGGTGGGTTCATTCTATTGCTTTGTAAATAAGCCGCAAGTTCTCTGAAGAAGGTTGTTCAAAGAACCGGAAGAGAACCGCGATGAACCTTTTGGATTTACAGTGTACTTGTGTGGATAAAACATTTTAACAATAGAGTGTCTTAAATCACCATCACTTTATCCTCCCCTAACATATAAATACACCAATCAAACTTGGTGGTCTGAAAATAAAACTTTAAAACATGTTGTATATAAAATTTAACAATTTCACTTGAAAGACACTCTTTTGTGGAAAAAATATTCGCTGAAGATTTGTTACGCTGTTGATTAACAAAAATGTTTTTGTAATAGATAATCCTAACTGTTACACGGTAATTTTTATTGAATATAAAACTTTGTATTGTTTTCCAAATACAAATTAATAGCATTTAACAAATACAACTTAATGTTTTGATTAAACAGTTTGTTTAATAATTAACAAGTCTGTTATTGTTTCTTATGTTTTACCAGTTATTCTGGCCGACCATCGATTTCAACATCTACATTAAATTCGATCCTAATTTTGACCACGACTTTCTCTCCACATTAACTAAATCCTTAACTATATTCCAACTATATTCCTACTACAATCCAATTACATTCTGAAAACATTGCAACTATATTACAACTTCAGTCTAACTAGATTTCAACTAAATTCCAACTACATTCTAACTACATTCCAACTACATTCCAACTACATTCCAACTACATTCCAACTACATTCCAACTACATTCCAACTACATTCCAACTACATTCCAACTACATTCCAACTACATTCCAACTACATTCCAACTACATTCCAACTACAGACGAGACAGCCCTACCTTTCGTATCCTCTTCTTTGCGTTTTTATATCTTAAGCAGAAAATGCGTCATTTAAACAACAGAACTTGTAAAACCTCCGTAAAACAACGAAGTCTTAATAAATGAATCAATAAATATCTGCAAACAACATTCTCTGGAATAAATAGCAAAATCAGTAAACTCTATGTAAAAAACTGTCTCGAATAAACAGCAGCATCAATAAAATCTCCTTAAAACAGCAATATCCGGAATAAACAGCAGAAAAAATAAATATCTGCGAAACAGCAATATTTCAAATAATCAGCAGATTAAAAAATTCTTTGCAGACCAATAATATCTCAAATAACCAGCAGATTTATCAAATAACTGCAAACAACAATATCTTGAATAAAAAGCAGAACCATAAATCTCTACAAACAACAATATCTCAAATAAACAGCAGAATCAAATAATCTCTGCAGAACAATAGTAACTCTAATAAATAGCAGCACAGTAAACAGCATAATCTCGAATGAAGCAAAACATCATTTTGTAAAACGCGACGAACTTTGTACAAAACTCATGGTGGTTGGAGGCGTTCCGTATCTTTATCCGCAAATTATTGAAGCTGTAATTTGAATAATCATGGAAGTATAAAACAGATGGAAGTTCATCGAGCCGCAAACATCAAAGCAATTTCAAGTCGTCTCGGGAGTATGCTTGTAACCGACAATTAAAAAAAAACAAGTTTCACTGGATACAAAAACAACAAAATTAACTGAAATGACCTTTATTAAAACATTAAAAAATGAATTATTCTAGGGATATGTTACAAATTTTTAATCATTGGTAATTGCAATTATTCAACAACAGGTTTATTAAAACTCGGTAATTAAATAGAACCACTTGATTTTAAAAGCATATGTTAGTTTAAGCTTCTTTTCTTGCTTCAAGTCATAACACGACATTTGATAAAAAAGACAACTAAAACAATTTTTAAAAAATCAAAAAAATTGTTTTCTAAGTAACTAAAGTTTAAAGTTTTATTAGATGTATATGATAACTCCATTTATTCTTGTAGTACTCCATTCATTTAATATAAAGTTTATAAAAAAGTTGTTGTCTGCCGTTACGTTGCGCCATTTTTAATGTTTTTCATGAATATTATTGGCGAACCTTCCAAATGCTATATTTTTAAATTATTATAAACGTATCTATTTGCGTCAACGTATAAAAATTAGGCGTTTAAGTACAGTCTTGATGTCGTTTTCTTATTGTTTACGAAACAAAAGGTTACAAGCATAGTGCCGAAGTCTTTCAATGCGGTTAAACTTCCATCTGTTTTATACTTCCATGGAATAATCGAGTTTATTCAATTCGTCTGAAATACCGTTCTCCATGCATTATAGCCAGCTATTTGAAGCGTTCCATATGGAGAACTTTAGTGGCGGAGAAACATTTTTCTTGTGTTACCCCTACTTTTTCCAAATCTATCTCTTTTGATTTTGCTTAAGGAAGCTTGATTGGTATGTCAGGCTGATCTTCTTGGCATAGCAAAAATATAAGATTATTATTGTTGTTGGTGGTCGGTAGGCGTAAACATCTGCCACGATTGTCATTACAGAATCATTTAACGAGAGCATTTTATTAGCACAAGATGATTATGATGGTAGCTGATAAATTTCGATAGGCTGCTTTTTTGTACAATGATAGACTTCATTGATAATTAACCTTGTGGTAAATGTAGGTAAAATGAGTTAGCATGAGAGGAAAAAGAAAATCATAATTTTCAATAATCTGTTTATGTGAAAAATTTGAAAAAGTCTGTTTCTGGTCTCCTATTTATCTTGTTGTCTAATCGGAAAAAGAATTGTTATTGCTGAAACATGCAAACATTTTTTTGTCTCGGTAATGATTAGCGGAATATTCTAATAAAGATGCGGATCAAAAAAAACATTAATAAAACAATCAAATAAAAAAAAAAAATAAATAAAAAATCTAAGCAAATACTATTTAATAGTTGTTTAGTGGTGAAACAAAATTTAAATATGAGGAATAAAGACGTTTTCAATTTCCTTCTTTAAGGTAAGTAAGTGAAAAAACGTCTAAATTTACTTAGTGAAGAAGCAAAAACCTAAATTTTTGTATATTGGTTTCTCAATATTATCTGAAATACAATTATATAAAATTCTTCGAAAAAGTTAAATGTAAAATATTGTATTAAAAATGTAAAAGAAAAAAATGAAATGATACATAACATTGCAAAATAACATTGTTTATAAATCTTTACAAAATGCCAATATTTTATAATATTTGATTAACTGTAAAACTGATGGATCCTGAAAAATATCATTGCCTAAAAGCTACTCAGCAGATGCATTAGCTTTGATGTTAGAATGAGTAGGACTTATAGAATGAGTAGGACTGACAGAAGTTGAACTAGCTTTAATGTAAAATGAGTAGGACTAACTATCAAATTGTCCGTCAAGGAGCATCAAATTTGTTGCATGTTATATCTTGCCTAAATATTTATTTTAAAAGACAAAAGTGATTTAATTGCAGAGTCCGGTATGGTCGCATCGAAGTACAATGTTTCTGTGAATCTACAAGGAATAACGCATCACACTTCTAACAGAATTTGGAAAGTTATTTATAAATCTAAACTTCCTGAGCCTTGCAATACTTATCTTCTTATAAGCAAAGTCGGATTCAATATTTTATCTGGACAGTCTGTTTTAAACACAGAACTTAAGATGAAAATGACAGACTGCCTATTTTAGTTAAAAAATCTTTGTTTCTTCATGTAGAGTAACTGTGCAAATTAAATTTCAGGAAACTAATGTTACTGTTTGGAGTAAACTTTAACTAGGTACGTGTGTAAAAATTTTAAATTGTTTAAATATTAGATTTTTGTATGTGAAAATGGAAAGATTTTAAAAAAATATTCCAAAACTGAAAATTTTATCAAAATTGCGTAATTCTTCGAAATGTTATGAGCATTATAGTAACGAAATGAGATTACCAGGATTCCTTAACAAACTTGTGACAATGTTATAGTTGTTTTATAACTTAAACTGCCTTAACGTTGTCAATTCTTTTCTAAATGCATATATCTTGGTATCAAAATATAGGTGTAACATTGGGCTAAAAGTTTTATTAGCTTTTAACCTCCGTGCATGTTAAGGAGACTAGAGGGGAAACAAAAGAGCTTACTCTGCCATTAACAAATGCACATTTCTTCCATTAAAGATAGTTTTTTTTTATATAAAACTTATAATTTTTATAATTATAAATTTTATATAAAAAAAAACATTAAAGATAGTTTTTTTTTATATAAAATTTATAATTTTTATAATTATAAATTTTATATAAAAAAAAACATTAAAGATAGTTTTTTTTTATATAAAATTTATAATAAACAAAGTTGTTGTTTTTTTATTCCAGTTGATTGTACACGCGCTAGTATCAAAATTGCTAGATTCTGATAAAAATTTTTATCATTATTAAAATAAGTGAAAATAGAATGAAATTGAAAATAATATTTTATTAAATTAGACATCTATTAGTGACATAAATATATTACAGGATGTGGAGCGGCACCTCCTCCCCCTCCCCCCCCACCGCCTTAGTATTAAAAAACCAGTTTAAAATTAAAATTTTTATTAAAATTTATTTTAATAAAAAGTGGTAAGGTACACTCCTCCTAAACTTTAAAACTTTGTTTTTTTAGTTATTAAGCTGCTCTAAGAAGTCCTAATTTTCTTGTCACAGAGTACCGCCACATGAAGAATAGTATTTATTAAGATAACTTTCTGTTCTTAACTTCACCGATAACGTTTATTTGCTTCAAGCTGAGATCGAACCTGCATATCTTGGATTAGTCCAATGCTTAAACCACTGTGCCTCGGGTGTTAAACCACTGTGCCATGGCTACTTAATTTGTTGGTGTCTTCAAAAGTTAAAAGGTATTCCGATAATAATTATGTAAAAGCAAGGACATTAATTGTAAGCAAATACGCTAGGCGTTTGTGGTGTTCCACACCTAAATGATAATTATCTATTCAACAAAAATGTGTCATACATGCTGTGAACTATTTATAGTTAATAGAAAGCTGAAAGTTTAATATGTAATACGAATCACATGTTTAACATGCGTTTATTTATTTGTCCTAGGTTTCGTGTTATTGGTTTGTCCTTCAGAGATATAACAATCAACAGTACAATAATAGTTATTGTTAACTAAGGTGTAACAAGTGTTTAACAAAAACTTCAGCTATTTAGCTTAATTATTTATATAGTAACTAGTGGTGTATAAATTCAGTTTGGACAATAACAAGGTAACAAGCCCATTCAAGAATCAGTGTATACAACAAGCTAAGCCATTTCAAGATACAGCTGGTAAAATAGTTTTTGCATCAAAAACTGTACTTTATCATAAAAACAATACTCTCTTTGAGGTTTGAAATATTTTTCTTTATAATGTTTAACTATTTTTATAAATTCTGTTAAAGAAAATATTATAATACTTAATTTGCATTATTGATAACATATCATTTGTATCATAAGTATGATGACTTTAATTATAAATTATATTTTGTTTAGTAACACTTAAATATTATTTATAAATTTAATAGAATGGTTTAGACCCCATCCTGAATTCTTGCACAGATGGGATTATTGTGTTAAGTGCTTTAAATCTAACCTTTAGTTTACGCAGCAAGTTGGCTAGAATAGCAGTCAACCATATTATTCAAAAGAAAGGATTGCAGTAAGTAATAAGTTATTAGATTTTCAAAATTAGTTTTATTTATTATTGTCTTTACTTATTATTTATTACTAAAGTTACAAATATAAAATTATAACATTGTAGTAATGCAAATGCATATGAAAATTTGATAAAATTATTTTTGATATATAAATTCTTTTTAAATTTTTCTCTAGAAATCGTCCAACTAATGCAGATGTCTGTGAATCAGCAAATGTCATTGTTACACATTTTCCCTCAGAAAAGCTTGTAAGTAACTTATAAACTTTATGAGTTGATGTGATCTATATGATTTTTAACGAAGTCGTTGTTAGTAATATATATGTTTAATATCTTCTGTATTAGGAAACATGGTATACTGCTCCTACGAGTAAAAAAACTATAGCTGGTGGAAAGTTGTCCGAGAAGCTTCGCAACACATGGCGAAATATTAAATCAGTGGGTATTTTAAAAAATTCTAACGGCCAACAATGAAGAACATGATAGTAGCGATGGTATGCTTTATAAGATAGTTTAGTTATTATAAATAGTATATTGTGTTTTATATTTTTAGAAAATTTTTTATTTCATTATGTTAATTATTAAATTTTTTTTTGATAAATTGTATTTTGATAAAATGTATAAATCTTTGCACAATTTTTTATCATATAATGGAAAAAGTTTTAGTATTTTATTAGTTTTATTTTTAAACATTAAAAAAATTATATAGAAGAAGCAATTCAAGATGACCTTAATTGGCTTAAATTTAATAGTTAACCATGGACTGAAGTGTGCCATAAATGGAAATCAACTTCAAAATTTAGGTTGAAATGTTTTCAATCTGGCACCAAAGACATTCCAAATTTTAAACTTCTTTTGGATCTAAAAGCAGATGCATTGGTAAGTATTTTAAATATTTGTTATGTGTTATTTCATATGTCCATATTTCACATACTAAATGTTTGCCACAGAAATACAAAATAATATCTTACCTTTTATAGGTAAATATCGATTTTACTCAATTGAGTATGCAAAAGAATTATGAGTATTGTAGCAACTTTATGCTTCAAAAAATTCCACTACATGCAAAAAAATTGATAGGCTTAGTTGCCAAGAAATATTCCATGCAAGATGTTAAGTGTTTTATTTTTAATAAAAGTTTATTAATTAGCATATATAGTATGATTAGCATAATATGATTAGCATACATATAACACAGTAGCATAATATGATAAGCATACATATATCAATGACAGCTTAGTCGGCAATCTGACAGACGGACAGTTTTTAAGATGGCGGAAAATTACCTATGTTCATACACCTAACTGACAATGGAAAAAACATATTTATACATTCATGTGTATTATATATGTATATATCAGGGATTATCTTTTTCCAGATATTCCCGGAATTCCGGATATTTTTAAAGATTAGTTTTTCCGGATATCCAAAAGGTTTTCTATACATACAAGTTTAAGTATATATTTGTGTAATATATTTGATTTTTAAGGCTTTTTAGTCACTCATACAAAAATTAAAGAAATTCTCAAAAAAATTGAGATACAACTCAGCTAAAAGAAAATTAAGAGGAAAATAAGGGGAAAAAAATTCCAGATATTTTCCGGATATTTTAAGCAAATAATTTTCTTGATTTTTTAAATACGACCTGGATATATAATACAGGGATAGAAGATGAGACAGCTGCTCTTTTGGCTATTTTGCGATTGACATGCTGCAAATGTTCCATCCATTTATGCAAAGAAGCAAAGAGAAAATCCTGTACTCCTAGTGTTAAAGAATGTGGCGAATCATTTCTTTTTCTGCCAATGTAAATTAAATATAAATAAAATACAAAAGTTTTTATTCACTAGTTATTATTTAAAGACACTAAAATTTATTAAATATAAAAATTATTATAATAACTAAGTTGTTACTTAAGTTGTTATTGCTTAATTATTAATATTTCTTTATTTTTTCAGTCAGTTGAAAATGCTGAGCAATCAATTAATAACATCAGGATCTTATATAATGACCTGAGCTGACACTTCAACTTTTGGTTTATGCTGTTCCACCAAACATTGCTGTTGTTGTGTACAACAATCACAGATGGTCATTTGAAACCCCTTTGAAAGCAATGGATTTTTCGTTTAAACTGATTCAAGTGAGTTTAATGTTATTACTAATATTTGCATTCCTGTATACAGAATTTTTATCATTCTCAATTATTTGTCTTTAGATCTTGGATCAGGAATACAATATTGCAAGTTTTCCAGCTTGAATGTTTTTTGCAAATATATATATATTGTTTTAATTGCCCCGATTTTGACGTATCATGCCCGAAAGCAAGTGAATTGGCTTCTGAGTTGAATTTATAAGTTTAGTTGACTGTCTTGAATTGTTATAAGTATAGACTGTGTAGTTGCATAATGCGTAAAAAAAAAAATGTTTGTAGATGCGGTAATAATACAAGCTAAAACAAATGTAAATATTATGTTTTTTTTAGAGTTATATTACCTAAACTTTAGTTTTTGAGAGAAAGTTCCATTTTGTCTTCGAAATCAAAGAAAATTTATTGGTTTTTTTACACGCAAAAAAAAAAAGGCAATTTTAATGAAATTTACCAAAATATTTGGTTATTTCAACAAAAACATTTGGTGAATATTTATGCACCAAATATTTTTAGTAAATTTCACCAAACGGATTTGGTGAAAAATATTTCACAAAATCATTTTGTGAAATTTACAAAATCATTTTGTGAAATTTACAAAATCATTTTGTGAAATTTACAAAATCATTTTGTAAAATTTACAAAATCATTTTGTGAAATTTACAAAATACATTTTACCAAATTATTTAGTTACTTTAACAAAAACATTTGGTGCATAAATATTCACCAAATGTTTTTGTTAAAGTAACCAAATTTTTTGTGAATTTCACAAAACGCTTTTTGCAGTGTGTGTCTACTGAATTGCACACGATAATTTTCCATTCACACCACATTGTATGTGACAAGCCAGTTCCAATTCGCCTCCTATCTGAAAAAGACCGGGATAATCATAACAAAGGTGTTTATAATTTTCAAGAAAACTTTACAAGAAAAAATACTATTGAAGATATAATGCAAAGATTCATCTGCTCACCAGACCTCATTGCTACTTCTATGAGGCGGTGTTCTAAGTCAAAGAAGGAACTTGCTCTTTAGCAATATGTATAGACTTTTTTTTTGTTGTTTTTCAATGGAACTATACTCTTTATTTTATTACTATTTGTAGTATTGATAATATGGATCCAATATAGAATTCATTTGTTTTAAAAAGTCTGTTAAAATCTGCTTGATTACGATAAAACATTTGTTTTTCAGGCAGGGATTTGAAACCTGTTTTATTGTTGTTTTTTGAAAACTCAAACAGTTTATATTTATGTATTTTTATAATTCTAAATACTTTTTAATTACGTATTTTTAAAGGAAAAACTTAAAAAAAAAACAAAAAAAAACTAAGGAATATAAAAGTAAGTATATTTTTAGCTATAATCTCGGTGAAAAAGTAAAAATACGCTTTCTTTTACGTAGTTGTATGTTCTTGTTATAATCGCATACACATGAAAAATTCATGTCTAGGTAATTATAAAGCTATGTATTTGATAATTTTGTATATTGTTTGACCAGAAAGTTAAACTATTGAAATCATTATCACGGAAATAAGTTTTATAATTTAGCTCTAAAAATAATGTAAATGCAAAAAGCATGTCACGTGTTATTTCATGTGTGTTTATGTGCTAGCATGTCGTATGTTATTTTATGTGTCCTTGTTTTTATTCGTAATTTTTTGTATATCTACCAAAAGTCAATGAAATTATTAATTTAATTTAAATATTGTCATGTAAAATAAGTTGGTTGTTTTGCATACTTTTTGTCCTTGTGTCTTATATTATATCTCCTTTTTGTCTTTGTCATGTGACCGTGGTGTTCTGCACAGGCATAATAATTTTTCATCCATCAAAAATGTGTCATACTTGCTGGGAACTCTTTATACTTAATAGAATGTTGTAAACTAAATATGTAATACTCATCACATGTTTATCATTCGTTATTTTATTTTGTTTTGGTTTTGTGTTAATGGTGTGTCGTTCAGAGGTAATGCATCCAACGTTACAATGATAGTTTATGGTGGACTAGGTATTTCGAACATTCAACAAAATTTTTAGCCTTTTAGATTTATAGGTTTTAGAAATTAATTAGTGGTGCATAAATTTATTTTAAAAAAGACCTTAAAGTATGATCCCTCTCCTACTGACTTTATTTTTTTTAAACAAAATGTTTTCGTCTATGTTAGGTTCAGATTGGATTTAATGACGTACTTTCAAAATTAAACGTGCTATTAACATCCAAATTTGACCCTAACCCTAACCCTGAGCAGTCAATAAAAAAATTTACAAGTCACAAAACCTTGTAACCGGTTGAAAAACAACAAAACTGCTGTACGTATTTTAAGCAACAAAGTTTGTTGTAATATATATTAAGCAACAACACTTCTTCTATCTGTTTTAAAGCCACAAAACTGGCGGTACTAATTTGCTAGCTATAAAATTTGTGGTACCTAATTTGTAAGTCAAAAAACGTGCGCTACCCGAAATTCGTTTTTGAGAAATGTATTCACAAATAAAAAAGTATAAATTTATCAACATATTAGTCGTATAATAATTTGGACGATTATGTTCATTGCACGTACAAAAGACCAAATATAAACCAAAATTGTTTGCTCGGACAGGACGGAACAAAATGTTTTCGTCTATGTTAGGTTCAGATTGGATTTAATGACGTACGTTCAAAATTAAACGTGCTATTAACATCCAAATTTGACCTCCTAATGTGCGTCCATATATGAAATTAGAAATATCTTTGCAAACTAGAATTTAAAATTGAAAGTACAAGTTTGACTTTTTTAAAAACTTAGAGAAAAACGTTCTTTTCAAAATACAAAGTGTCTAAAAATTGTTTTAACTCAATTTTTTTGAGTTGTGAACGTAAAACAAAATAGTTCTAACCTCTCGATTTTGCGCCAATATTTGTGCAATATAGGCACGCTTGAAATGGCTAAAAATAGTCATGTCCAGAGATATTGGTGTGTTTATTCAGAAATATTTGTTAAGAGATATTCTGCCGAAGGAACACAGTTATTCCATTTTAAAAAACTTTACTTTTTCCTTGGGAAATACTATTCATAATTTTTTTCTCGAGCTAGGCTTTATGCAAGAACATCGTAGATGATCTCTACGTAACTGTTTTAGATGTTTTGTTTTAACGGTGTCGGCAGGAATGTTTATAAGAACGTTTAGTATATTGCAAATTGCGAAAAGTTAATATTTTGCATATATTTTGTTATTTTTCTATTAGCTTTGATACATAAATCATCGGAATATACAGTAATTTCTTTAAAATAAAAAACTAAACAGAATGCAATGCGAAAGATGTATTTTAAAATAAAAAATACAAATTCAAAAGATCAAAAATTACATACTAAAAAAACTATCAAAACTACAAATAAATAGAAATTTGAAATAAAAAATCAAGTCGTTGACATATATTAATAATTTAACCGAAACGCCTTTTTTCGTATGGCGTCCTTTTTCACTACCTTTTTCCCATCTAAATAAAAAAAAACAAAGGAATATAAACGATAAATCAAACAATTTAATATAAAACCGATGCAGCAGTCCTTCAAGTTTTCGTGTAAAAGCTTCAGGATTTACTTAATAAAAGAGTGTTTCACAAAAACGCAAAAAACTTACCTAAATATCCATTAATGACATTGAACATTTTAATGGAGCCATCCTGAGCTTCATACCACGGATCTCCTGCGTAAACTTTGACATTTGTAAATACTTGTGGGTTGAAGTTTTGTACAGTATATACATTTTCGTTATTGATATATAAAGTAAAAGAAGCTCTTCCCGATTCAGCGTGTTGACGTATATGAATATTTATCCACTGACCTTGTTGAAGTGGCTTGGACTTAATAACTTCATTTTTTTCATTGTTTATTGCAAAACCAAGGTGTAACATTCGATCAAAAATCCAAATGCCAGGAATTCGATCACCGTATTTCGAATTATCCTCTCCTTTAGTCAAATGAATGACACTTCTAAATCCGTTTGAAAAACTGTTGAGTTTTAAATCGAAATAAATATCAAATGATTGTTCTAATTTTGACAAAACCGCAACCAAATTATTTTTTTTCAGTGTCTCTTCAACTTCATTATCTACAAAATCTAAAGTAAAGAAAAAACCACCTTTTAACTATCTTTATAATAAATTTAATTATAAGTAAACAGTTAAAAAAAAAAAAAGTTTCCTAAAAATATTATCATTCAGCTTGCAAAGTTTAAATAATTTTGATAAATCTTACATTTTGATTTCAGTACAGCTTTCGCTAAAGATTCACCTAAAATGACGTGCGAAAATTAAAATCCATTTGAATTCAATTAGTCAATTCATTAAAAGTAAAATTGTAAAAAATGAAAGTTCTGTGTATAAAATTAGTTCAGATATAAAAGTAAGAACAAATAGTACATTTAAAAATTTTGCGATTTTCATTTTCAATTATTAAAATACAAAACAAAAAAGCAGACTCTTTGATACGCCTGATTTAAATACGTTAGACAAAAATAGTAAAAAAGAGTATTGAAAAAAGTAATACCAGGCTCCCCGTTTTCAAGAATAAGATTTTTTATCGATCCATTTTGAGATGGATACCACGGATCTGAAGCAAAAACTTTGACGTTTTCAAATTTTTGGGGATTGGTATTATTTTCAGAAAATGCGTTTGTTCCATTTACGTCAATTGTGAAAACATATTTGTCATCAATACGTTGTTGACTAATAACAACGTGTGTCCACACATTGAGGGGAGGTGCATCGATATAGATTTCTCTATTTCTTTTTCCATTTATCGGTGCAGTAATGTGAAAACCCTTATAGTTAGGCTCATAGGGTCGTAACCAAAGTGCCGGAGCTCTGTCACCGATTTCACTGGTATCATTACCAACCGTGAAATGAAGAACACTATGAAAACCATATGAGTATGACTTGGGTTTTAAATCAAACGATACCTTGTAGGACATAGCTAATACAGGAATGGTGGCTACTAACTCCGCTGTTTTTAAACATGTTTCGTAATCTCTAATCAGCTTATCTGAAAAAGATACATAAAAAAGGAAATTTAAAAATTTAATTTCTAATCAGCTCATTTGAAAGACACACACAAAAATAACAAATTTAAATATTTTAACTAAAAAACAAACTTAAACAACAACAAAACCTGTTTAAAACAAAAATCATACTTTTTAAATAAAAAAACTGTATTATTGTGTAAAGCAAAATACTGATTTTCTGAGAGATCGCGAGGTTAGGTTTATCTTGTTCTATTTAACACTGATTGGATTGTGTAACTCAAAATAGCGTTTTTCTACTACATTGAAACTTAAG